TTACTTATTGTCGGGATAAAATCGTCTGGACGTACGATTCCCGCGCTTATCCAGGTTTTGAAGGAGCAACGGCTGTCATCATGGAAACGCAGATCTGGCGATGTCAGTAATTTTGGAACTCGACCACAGATTGGCTAGAAAACATCGTACGACCAGTGGACGTCCGATAACGCTACATATATATATATATATATTATTGAAAAAAATGTCAAACGCTATACAACGTAATTAGGAAAAACAACTCTTCAGTTAGCCTTGACAAATTTCTTTGAATTTCCTGTATAGATTTGATCCCAGACCCTATTTTTTCCTGTTATTATTAGAGGAGAAGGTGGTATTATGGAACACTGCGGGTATTATAAAACCACTTCATTTCGAACTGATAATAAAGGCAAACTATAGCGGAATGTGGACGAACTGAACTAGGCAGACATCCATAGCAAGGGGAAAACCCGTTTTACTTCAGTTAAACAGTTNTAAAATCGTCTGGACGTACGATTCCCGTGCTTATCCAGGTTTTGAAGGAGCAACGGCTGTCATCATGGAAACGCAGATCTGGCGATGTCAGTAATTTTGGAACTCGACCACAGATTGGCTAGAAAACATCGTACGACCAGTGGACGTCCGATAACGCTACTAAGCGCTGATTGAAGAACTTACATTCGTTTCAATCCGTATAAAAGGATTGAATTTAGGCGGAAATTTCAGTTAGAAAAAGCGCGAAATTCAACCGTCATCTTGGTATGCTCATTTCGTTCTTTGATTTCAGTGATTTTAAGTAACTCTTTCCAGCGACTTTCGTCGACTTTACTACAGTTCCTTATTCTTTAGCTTCTGGTCTTCCTTTTTGATCTCTTCTCTGCCCAGGTAGGAGTTTTCCTCTTTCTTTCAGCCGGAGTGGCTTCTCTTTCAGACTCGGTAATGGCGTCGCCCTCACGCGAGCGCCTTTAAATGCCACCATCGGAATCGGAAGCACTCATAACTTCTGACGAATTAAGATTTATTTTTCCTCTGTCAGAATTGGAGAAACTCTTCTCTATCAGTTCGTCCCTTCCTTCGAACAAAATCTATACAATTTTTGTGGAAGGACAGGGACCTCTCCGACGTCTTCGTCCTGCTGAGCTCCATGCGGCCCTCAAACTGCATTTCCCCTGACCGAAATTGCTGCTAGATGTCCGCTACTCCCGTAGTGCTCTTCTAATTATCAAAACTCGAAATCATCAAGCCACAGTGGCGGCTCTTCGTATTCCCGATATTGCCGGAATACCGGTCCGTGGCTGTTTGGCCCTAGACTGTGCCCACTCCGCTTATCTCCTTCGTGGGGTGGATCCGTCGATCACAGCCCAAAAAATTTTCGATATACTTTTGGACTCCCACGTTTTAATCTTAGAGATACATCATTTTACACGACAGGACGGGGATAACATCCTGCCTAGCTCCACGGTTTACTTCTCAGTGGCCAGTGCTTTCACGCTGGAATCCGTTACTATCTATTACGAACGATACCACTGTAAGCGATATATTCCTCGCCCACACCAATGCAGGCAATGCCTCAATTTTGGCCACTCGCCCACGACATGCCACAGCCGCTGCAAATGTATTACTAGCGGGGCTGGCAATGACCCGACCACATGTACCGCCGCTGCGGCCGGCTGTGTGCGTTGCGGAGGAGAACATTCTGCAGATTCTCCCCGCTGCTGAGCCTATCAGCAAGAGGCACGCCTGTTAAAATTCAGCGCCATCCAGCGCTTTTCTTATATAGAAGCCAAACGCTCGCAGAGCAACTCCCCAAAGTCATATGCAAGAGTGGCCTCAACTTCTCCCCAAAACTGCCCGAGAAGACCCCCTCGTTGTGAAAAACAGCCAGCTTTTCTACTATTGGACAGACAGATGACATTTTGACCCTAACCAATCGTATTTCCCAATTGGAATCCATAGTGGAGAAGCTATGTGCAGAGTTAAGTCTTCTTCACTCGATCATTCAGCCAACCTCGCTTAATCCAACTAAGGATCTGACCGTGTCCATGTCAAATAAGTGCTCTTCCCACCCGGCGGGTCCTTTGACTCCTGCCCAACTCCCAAAGAAGAAGAAAGGACCTAAACCTCATCCCATCGATCCAATGGCAGAATCTGACTCAGAAGGTCCAAATTCGGACATCGACCACACGTACTCCACGGGGTCCACAAGTGTAACTCCCCTAGAAGACCCCTGCTTTTCCTCCCCAGCCGAGAAGGCTAAACTTCGCCGCCACCCGCCCAATACCCCCAAGCATAATGTGTAACTCTACAAGCAACTTGCAAAATCTCCGCTTGATACACTGGAACGCGAGAGGTCTTCGTTCTAAACGTGATCTCCTTTTGGCAGCGTCTTGGCTATGTACCGTTAACATCATCCTGGTACAGGAGACGTGGCTAACTCCTGAAGTGGTCTTTTCCATACCAGAATTAACTCTCTTCCGCCAGGATCGCATCTCTGCTCAGGAAGGGGGTCTCCTAACAGCGGTCTCTCACTGGTGGCCTGTCCGCAAACTGCACCCTGGTCCCAAGATCACCGGCACCGAATATCAAGTCGGTGGGTCGAAAGCGGTGAGAAAGTTTATAGATAATATAATAGGTTCAAAAAGAAACTAAAAATTTTAGAGAAAATAATATTTCGAACTTCACCAAGATTTTATCTACACTAAACAGAGGAAACAGTAGAATTTGAAAGGAAGTTGATTTCTTTTCCCAGGCGAACTGTTGATGAGTTGATAATTTTTCACACGGTCCGGAGGAGAATATAAAGGGGCAGTTTTCGCGCCACTCGAGGCAGTCGTCCAGGCAGAGGAAGATCTGGCCATAGGTACAATACAATACCTCCGAAGCAGTCCATAGAGAAGAGACCATTGCCATACTAAGGAGAATACGTAATAAGCCATACATACGAATTTAATATACGACATACGAAAAGGTTAAACTGACGTACAGCATACGATAAGATGGTGGAAAGGAAAGATGTTTGAAGAACCTCCAAGGAAACATAAAGAATATATAATAGAAAAAGGAAAGAAGTAGATCTTCATACAGATAAGAAAGATACAGAGGTAATACAAGCTCAGAATAGATCGATGTAAACTCTCTCACGCGTTAGGTTAGAAATAAGATAGTTTAAGTTAGATTTAGAATATAGGTTAGATTCATCATTTTATATTTTTATTATTTGATTTATTAAATATTTACTTTGGTTATAAATGACTTGGTTCTTGTTAGATATTCATCTACATTTAAATTCCCATGCTTCTTCCGATTCCTGAGTCTAGGGATAACGCGTGTTAATCCGCGTCTAAAATAACTGATTAACTGGTGTCAGGTCCCTGGCGTAGATCTAGATTTCACAGTCCAGATCGGTTTAAATATTAATAGCCCTCCCGGTCAATTCTTGACGTAAGATCGGATCTTACGATCCGAAACTCCGAGAACTAGTTTTACCAACTAGCGCCGATTAAGTGGTACTAACTATCCTAGTGGAGTAGTACCCCAGTTAGTCTCACACAAGAGACCTTGGTATACTTTTCACGGGCTTCTCTCTCCCTTGTTAATGTATATTCCCCACACTGCATCCTTTCGGCTGTCTCACTAGACCCTCTTTTGCGGGGCAATTACCACCTTCACATAGTGTGCGATGACTGGAATGCTCATCATTCTTATTGGGATAACAAAGTGCAAACGCCGAGACCCGCAGGCCACATCTTTTTCGATTGGTTCTCATCCGCGAACTTATGTTGTTGGAACTCAGGGGAACCAACTTATTTCCACTTAAACGGATCATCAGCTATAGACCTGACCTTCTGCTCCCCGGACCTATTAGGTTCCGCCTTATGGAGCCCTTGCGTGGACACCTTAACCAGTGACCACGCTCATATTTCGATCACTCTATCTATCTTGGGCATCCCTAATCCGACGACTACCCCTCGTTTACACTTTTCAACAAACTGGAGTCGTTATTCAAATAAGTTCGATCAGCTTTGGACTAACGAGGAATCGATCCCCACCTCGTATAACGCTTTTGTAGACGCTATCCGTGAGACGGTTTCCTCTAATACCATAATTCGCTCCATTCCTTCCTCGGGTCAACCACTGTGGTGGACCCCTGAATGCAGCCGCCTTAGAGCACTTAAACGTCGTGCGTTTTGCCTAACCTGCAGGCAGCGTTTCACTCCTGGTGGGATAAATGTAAACAATTAGGAGCGAAACTCCGTCAGAAGACCTGTCAGGCTCATCGGGAGTGGTGGGGTCGTTTGTGTGCCTCTCCCCCTCTCCATCCACACTCCATCGCATCTTCCATTGACTGAGATCCCCGCCGGTGATTACGGCCACCCAACATATCATCCAAACGACGGACTACCTACTCAGTCCCATCCAGCAGGCGAAAGCCTTTGCATCCTTCTTCGGGTGTACCCGCCCAATGGAAGCTTTTGCTCCCCTTGATGATCCCCGGCTAGGGGCCCCAAAGTTTGACAATTCCCCCTTTCATCTCCTCGAACTCTGCCGAGCCATACACCATCTTCGGAACACAATACCGGGCCCAGATGGCGTAAGCACACACGCCTTACGGACCCTCCCAAATGTGGGCCTCTCGGCCCTCTTGAATCTCTTAAACGATCTCTGGGCCTGAGGGTCCTGCCCCCAGACTGGACCTCATCTACCATTGTTCTGATCATTAAACCAGGTCGTTCAGCGACGATATGCGCCTCATATAGGCCTCTCACGTCGCAAAACTATTCGAACGGCTAATCCTGTATCGAATCCATAAATGGACCTTTCATTCTGATATCTTCCATCAACACCACTTTGGCTTTCTTCCCTACCGAGGGGTAGAAGAGGCCCTTATTACGTTACACCATTATATAGCTGTGGCCTGAGCAAGAAAGCACTGGGTGTACCTAGTCGCACTCGACCTAGAAGGGGCATATGACTCTGTGTGCCAAGAAGGACTCCTAGCTAAATTAGAATTTTTCGGTATGGGAGGGAGACTCTTGTCCTGGCTTAAATCGTTTCTACTATATCGTTCTTTTTGCATCCGTTGGCGCGGGACGCTGTCACCTCCTCATGCCTTTATCCAAGGCCTCCCCAAGGGGAGCGTTCTTGCCCCCATTGTATTCACATTATACATGGCGAACCTTTGGACTGCTCTTCCCGCCAATGTCACTGCCGTCCTTTACACGAACGATTTATACATTCTTACCTCGAGTACTAGGCCTTTAAAAGCAGCTCGCAAAGCTCAATTAGCCCTGGACCACCTTGAACATTGGGCAACCACCTGGAGTTTATCCTTTTCTGCCACAAAAAGCGCTTCTGTCGATTTTTCTGCCAAACTCCACCGCCCTCCACTTACTTTGTCTCTTAACTCAAGTAATATCCCTCAGCCCCCTTCTTTCCGCATCCTCGGACTTAATTTTTCGCATAACTTCACATGGCACGCCTACGAGACTTTCTTAAGAACCAAAGTGACTCGTGCCGGTTCCCTTCTCAAATTTTTTGCTTCTCGTAGTTACGATGCCAAAAGAGCCGACCTCCTCCGCTTAATCTATACCGTCCTTAGCCCGATGGCGGAATTTGGCGCTCCTCTCCTGGAAGGGGCCCCCAACCACTATTTGTCGTATCGAAAAACCCATTCAGGAAGCCCTTCACACAGCCTTGGGCCTGCCCAAGTCTACTCCGCTCTCATCCTTATATGCCGAGTCTGGCTATATTCCACTCTAGTCTAGGCTGTGTCAAAAGGCTATTTCGCACGCCATCGCTCACCTCTCAAGAGGCCAGTATAGCCCTCTCTACAATATTTTCAGCACAACCTCCAGTCTAGACTACTACCGCTGGCACCCCTTTCAGGTCCCGTATGACTCTAGGATTCTCTCCCTGATTCGTCAGGAAGGTCTACCCATCTCTCGTCTCTATTGGCAAAGACACGTACCCCCGAGCCCCATAAACATCCAACCTAGAATTCGTCTTGACGATTTTTCAAATGCTTCCAGCCATCCTCTGGCAGCCTTGAATTCTCTTTTTAACATTCCAACGGCCATCGTCTGGGATGGCAAATCAGTTCTCCAGGCAGTCGCCAAAGTAAATTTTTCCTCTCCAGTGGTTATTATTGACCTAGCTGCAACATCAGCTCTCACCCAATGCCCCTCGAAATCGGGTGGACCCCCTGGTCATGTTGGCATCCACATAAATGAAGAGGCAGACCAAGCCGCTAGCCATGACACTCCCATCGACTCCTGGTGGAGACCTCTCATGGCACATGACCTCATACGCCAGATGCGGGAATCGATCATCCGCAACTACACCGATACCTGGTCTACTATCCTTCGGGGAAAAGGTCGCGACCATCTCCGATCTTTTTGTCCCTTAGATATACCATCACGCCTCGTCTCGCCACACAGAAACCCTATTGGCTAGACTTCGTACCGATACGGTCCCCTTGAACAATTTCCTCTATTCTCGACGCCAATGCGCCTCGCCAGATTGCCCCCACCGTGGCTCGCCAGAAACTTCCGTCCACTATTGGCTTGTCTGCCTGCAATAAACACGGGCCCGCCAAGAGCTAGGCCGTCTCTTAACCTTGGACCTCACGATTGTCCGTACCTTAACTCCGATATACTGGCCTCAACCGACCTACCTTCCCGCCAACATATGGAAATCTCGGAGCGTTTTGTTCACCATACCAACCGCTTTACCTAATTTCTAAACGGAGTGATTCGGAGAAAAAGCCAACAGGCTAGAGTCTCCATATTAATAAGATACGAAAGAAAGAAAGAAAGAAAGGAAATTTCAGTTCGCCTAAGACACATCCAGAGAATTCAAGTTTGTTTAGCTTTGCCTAAGCTTGCCTAGAAGGTTGCTTCGTCTCGCTGTGCGGTAACCAACGTGTGAAGGAATAAGTCGCAAGGAGTTCTTTTTCGACAGACCTGTTGTTGTGGTTTAATTGACTTTTGAACTTTGCTATATCTGAATTATTGTAATTGTTATATTTTGTGAACCTCGTAACTGTATGTAAGTTTTAATCGTTAATATAAACGTTTTGTGAATTGTGAATTAAGTGGTTTTTGAACTTGACTCTTATGACTAATAAACAGGCTTATTACAAACCCATCCTGTTTAATTAACTCACCAAAAGGCATTTCGATCTTATACTAAACTTGGTTTATACTGGACTTGCTTAATTAATATTGTTGTGTTACTGTTTTAGTGATAATTTAGATTCTTTTTAATTAATCATGTGTATTTAATAATTTTAATTAATAATTACAAAGAAGGTGTGTTACCTAACACATCTAGAGCACAAGGCAACACACCTCTTTTGTAACTGATCCCTGCATCTTGTAGAAATCTCTGAACCTGCAACTCTGTTGTTATACTGCTTTTGCACCCTGTTCATCACGTTACCATGCAACATTATGAAGAAATATTACTCCTGTCTACATTGATAAAGCTTACTGCTCATATAGTCATGGCGACATTTTCACCTTTATATTGTATAGCTTTAGGCATGGTTTTAACTTTCATTTAAATTTTTTTTACCTTGTATAATTTCTTAAGTATACTAAATCCTCTCATTAATACCAACTGATGAGGGACTATTTTCTATTAATAAATAGTCCGAAATGCATTTTGGATTTTCCGGTTTCTATACTTCGGTAATCATTTTATTGTACACCCCTTTTTGTTTTATTAAATGTTTTTACTTCGATTCTTGAGCGTTTCTGCCCATTATCATTGGGTGATAAGCTATTACTATTAACTGCCTCACGGTTATAGATATTTTAATTAATTTACATATATTGTAATGGTGACAATTGTCACCAAAGACTCTGCTTTGTGTATCTCAAAATTGATAAAAGCCAGCCTCAGCGATTCATTTTGTATAAGTTATTTAAATAACCTGGGTTTATAGTAAGCCTGTTTGTTAGCGATAAGTAAATAAGTAGTTTTTATAATTAAATAACACAGGCAGGAAAGTTGTTAATATATGTAAAATTTTTTCATCCCTAAAACAAGTGGACTTTTTATACCTCCTAAAATAAAGATCGCAGAAGGTAATACATTAAAATCCAAGCTTAATATTTTGGAAAGTATGAAAAAAATGTCTTTAATTTCAAAATTATTATAATGTTTGACCCATTTTTAAAACTATTTACAAAAACCTTTTTATCCGAAAATAAAGTTTATCTTTATATCAAATGTTTTATGAAGATTTTTCAGTTTTACAAAAATCATTGTTGAGTTTTCTTATATGATATTCATGTAATATTTTTATATTTATTAACTACAGATAATTTTTAATTATAGCTGAAATTTCTATTACAAGACTAATTTTAAATATTTTATATTTAGATACTGCCACAATGAATTTAATCTTCGTTTCGTTGTATCAGTCAATTCGTAAGCTACGTTCTCATTGTATAAGAGACAGAACTGCTGCATTCTGTGGAATGAAGTTTCTTTTAATCTGTATAGTAGTTTTTTTACACGTTTTTGTTCTGTTCCCTAATGAACCAGTAGGTAAGTTTTTGGTGTCGCTTCTTTTTGTCTTAATTTTTAAACTTTCTTCAGAAAATTATTTTACATATTTCGGTATAAGTGCATTTGCTTAGTAAGTAGAGGGTACTTGAAGTAAAATATTAACAATTACATGTAAAAGGAGCGTAATTACTGCAAAAGGATGGCAGAACTTCATTGTTTGAAAAGTCACAACTGTATTGGGTGTTCTTTCCATGCAGCAAATAGAATGCAAAAGAAAGGGAATTACCCCCTGGACAATAATGAAGTATGAACCTTTATAACGTGTTCATTATCACTTCTCTTATCTTGTTTAGTATAATAATTTAGTTTCCTATGGTGTTGCCGATAGGTATTTTGTCTTTGTGCGTACTTTCTATCCGCTCTGTAACCTGCAGATTGTATGGATAATTACACAGATGACAACACGCCATTGAGAAAAGCCTTGTAAATTACTGCCTTCTCATATTAGACTTAAAATTTATTGAAGAAAGTTGTATAAAACACTTCGCTTTTTTATTCACTTAACTCTATAAAATATGTTTGTATTGCACGCATATTAAGAATTTACTGAAAATATGTAAATCTCCTTAAAAGTTCGATAAGCGTTTTAGGAATAAGTAAATGAATAAATACAGGAAAGTCTTAAATTCAAATCAAAAATAGAAACTACAAGGAGCGTAATTTTAATGTGCAGTAATAACACTAGTAACGTTAGCTTTCATTTTAATAAATTCGAAGTATCTATATTATATTATATACAGTAGACCCCCCTATAACGCTTAGATACGTTCCACGCTAATCGAAATTTACGTTGTAGGAATGATTACAACGAATACATGATTAAATACATGATTTGATTTGATACATGACATGATTTGAATACATGACATGATTTGAATACATGACATGATTTGAATACATGATTAAATACATGAGCCAATCGCAGCCCGATAGGTGTGAACTTTACGGACTAAGGCTGTTTGAAAGGTTTTCTTCTGTAAAATTAACCAATTCTAGACTAATTCCACTCAACATTTCCAAAACACGTATAATTTTTTGGGAATAATCTGTATAAACTATGCTATAAACAAAAAATTATAGGATTACTTACCGAGTGTGTACCGTTCGACTACGCTGTTGCTNAATTAACCGATTCTAGACTAATTCCACTCAACATTTCCAAAACACGTATAATTTTTTGGGAATAATCTGTATAAACTATGCTATAAACAAAAAATTATAGGATTACTTACCGAGTGTGTACCGTTCGACTACGCTGTTGCTCAAAGCTTCTTTTAGTCGCGGAACAGCACACGAAACGACGGCCGCGATATCTGATAACGAATTTTTCGCAGAAAAATAACTTGACCTTTGGAGAAATCATTAATATAAATAATTTTTATGGCCGTTGAATAAGAAATGTTTCTTTCACAAGAAATGTAAAAAATTTATCAATGCATATTTTCTACCTTTTCTTTTATGAACTTATCGTTTTGGCAAATGAGCGGCTCACATACAGTTTACATATGCATAAACATACATTTACATAGATACTTAAGAAAGATGTAAAATAAATATTTAATATGTAACTGTTAAAATATATTTTAGTTCCTTTCAAAACAAACAAATATTGTAATTAACGCAAAATGAATAGCAAAACATTTTTAAATAAAAAGAAGCAGTTTCCCTTTTTTTTTTTTTTTTTTTACATTTATTCACTGTCAGAGCTATCTATAATTAGGATCCAACGACATCCTCTTTTAAATGTTGGTTGTAATATTTCATAGCTTAAAAATTCACTTGTTTCTTCTCTATTATTTTCGTAGTCTGAAAGGGTATCTTCTTATGTTCTCAACAATTTATTATTGTTACTTTCTAAATCTTCTTTTACTTTAAAATATGGAGCTAAACAATCTTTGAAATTTTTCTTAAATTCCTCAGAGCGCTTTGTTGATGGATCATTATTCGTAAAAAGTTCTTCTAGATTTTTTGCCAATTCTAATGCTTTATTTAAGATTTCTAAATTAAAGTATTGTTCTGGCTCACAAAAAATTCGTAATGAGTCTTCTTCACCGCTTGATTCGGACAACTCTGCCAGTTGCATAAGTTCTTCTTCATCTAACTGTTGGTTAGTATTGATTAATTCAATAACATCTTCCTCGTTCATGTCGACGAATCCCTCTCCACCTAAATGTGGGCAATATTTATTATGCGATTTACTTCTGTTGTTACGGAAGTTAAACGATCTTCTCTAATAACAACTTCAGGCCATAATTTTCCCCAACAGGCATTCACAGTCGAACATTTTAGTTTCTTCAGAGATAACGAAATAATTTCAATGCTATTTAAAATTGAAAAATCTTTCCACAAGTCTGGTACTGTAGTAGTATTTGGATTACAATCAATATTTTGTAAAATGTGTTCAAATGTGTGCCGTATATACAATGATTTAAATGATTTAATTATTCCCTGGTCTTGGGGTTGTAGGATTGATGTCGTATTGGGAGGTAAAAATATTAATTTAACAGCCGGATGATTTAAATCTGTGTGTCCTGGCGCGTTATCAACCAGTAACAAAGCCTTGAAACTGATATTTTTTCTTTTTGTGTACTCTTCTACTTCCGGCACAAAGCAATTGTAAAACCAATCGCGAAATAAAACACCTGTTACCCATGCCTTTTTAGTTGCTCGCCAGAAAACAGGAACAGTTGATTTGTCAATTCCTTTAATTGCTCGTGGGTTTAATGAACGGTTAATTAACATGGGCTTTGTAACGTTATCTCCAGATGCGTTTGAACATAAAAGTATAGTGATCCTATCCTTGGAAACCTTAAATCCTGAAGCAGACTCTTCATTTTTCGAGATGTAAGTGCGTCCGGGCATTTTCTTCCAATATAACGAGGTTCCGTCGGCATTATATACCTGATCTGCAGTGTAATTTCCATCTTCTACAATTTTGAGAAAATTCTCTCGTAATCTCTCGGCTGCTTCTGTGTCGGCTGATGCGCTTTCTCCCACAACTTTGACATTGCGCAAGGAAAATCGATTCCTAAATCTGTTAAACCAACCGTTACTGGCTTTAAATTCGTGTCGATGTGATTCATTAAAAGAAATGGATTCAAGCTCTTTTAAATGCTGGTAAATCGTTGTTGCCTTTTGCATTATTACATTACTACTCAAAGGAAAATTCTTTGAAATGCAATTTTCTATCCATAACATCAAACATTTTTCCATTTTAGGCATTAAAGTGTCCTTTATACGAGCAGTTTTATTCAAACTTACTAAAGATCCAGAGAAAATTTTAGCCCTTATTTTGTTTTCGTTATTTTTTATTGTTCGAATTGTTGACCCGTTTAATTTTAAATCGTGAACAATGACCATTACTTTCTCACCAGATTTTAACCGATCCAAAATTTTAAGTTTTTCTTCAAGGGATATACGTTTTCTGCTCTTAGAATTCTTCTCCATGGTAGAAGTCATGATGGCTAAAGACAAAATTTTAGATAACGTAAAAATTATAAAATTACAGTACTGTATTAGACTTACAGTACCTAATTTATATATAATTAATATATAATTATATGTACAGTACCTAATTTATATATAATTTATATATAATACTAAACAGACGACATTAAACTCAACTTACCTCCGAAAATCTCCGTAGCGTGACGCCACGCTAGACGCGGAAATTATATATTTAATTATAATAAAGTTACAATAAGTTAATATATAATTATATATACAGTACCTAATTTATATATAATTAATATATAATTATATGTACAGTACCTAATTTATATATAATTTATATATAATACTAAACAGACGATAGCAAACTCAATTTAGCCGCTCCGTAGCGTGGCGCAGGGTCGGAGGAAAGTAGTTCGGCTGCTCATCCACTATTGGTCCAGACTCTATCAATCTTGTCGCGAAACGACGTTATAGGAGGTACTTTATACGAATGTTGCTACAATTTTTTCGCTACGTTATAGGAATTGTCGTTATAGGAATGCACGTTATAGGGGGGTCGACTGTATGTATGTATATATATATATATATATGTTTCTGTGAAAGACCGAAATTAGAGAATGTCGATATTCTCCAGTGAATGTCGACACATACAATATACGTCGGTGAAAGACTGAATATTTGGTTATATTATTATATATTTGATCAATCGCCGGTGTATGTCGACAAGCACAGATAAGCTTTGGTGGAGGTCGAAACGACACCTGAGAAGCCGATGTCGACAGAGAGGCAACAGTCTCTTGCCAAATCCTTTGCGGGTAGCCAAAGGTAGGACAAGGTCGTACCTGTTTTCCCTGCAACAGTTTGGTGGAAACCACCACTTTGTCACTGGATGGTGTTTTTGTTCTTTTGAAGCCGTGAGGGGGAGATCGCTTTGTTAGGTCGAGTGGCTGAGGATGAAATGGGTCGTCGGTAAGGCGTCGGCGACATTTGAATAAAAGACACCATTCAGATCAGTTTGTAATCACGTAATAACGTAATCAGTTCGTAATTTGTAAAGAAAATTTATTTTTCATAGATGAGATTTCTTCTCAAAAAATATCGCTGAGAGAAGCAGCTGCAGTTAATTCGAAAAGTGGAGGGCAAGGCTATACACGCTGTCATTGCAAAAAGAAGTGTTCCACGAATAAATGCAGTTGTAAAAGCAAGGGACTTTTGTGCAATTCAAAGTGCCATAACAGTTTAAGTTGTTGCAATAAATAACAATGTATAACATCAAACACGTAATTTATGTGTAAGTTTATTATTGTATTATTTTCTTTCCTGATTAAGAATGTACTGTTCGTTATTGGTTCAACAGTTTATTTACATGCGCTGTTACTTAAGCTTTCTTCTATTTTGACATATTAAAATGTTGCATCTTTGTCTTAACCTGATAAAAATATTTTTATTCAACATTCGCCATCAGTGCATGCTGAATGTCGACATTTGCCGGTGTGACTGAGAAAAAATAATGTTTAGCAGATATTTGTACTTTACATACACGAAACGACTGTGTGAATTCTGACATTCACCGGAGAATGTTGACATTCGCCAGATATCGGTCATTCACACTAACATATACTGTATACAGTATATATTAGTATACAACATCTATATGAATATAAAAAAAATGAATGTAAATATTCCATGTCATTTATAGATTTATAGATAAATATTAATAGTAAAATAAATCCTCCATCATAATCTCATTCAGGAAATAGAAAAAAGAAACCAAATCTTATAATATAATCGAGATGGGTTGATGATAATAAAAATAACAATAGTAATAATCAGCACAGAGCCCAAACGGTTAAGAACTGAAAGTTGAAATTTGGTACATAGATAGAGTACGTCATTAGAATGTAGACTAAAAAAAGATTTTCGGAAATTCTTTTCTGAGGGGAAGAAGAGGATTAAGAATTACCCCAAAGAACTCGGCTTCTACTGTACTATTTTAGGTGCTGTTTTTTGCATTTTGCGGGAATTCGAACAAATTTTTAAACCTGCCTAAAAATTCTCTAATTGTCTCGGAATACGTAAACCTAATTTTTTGTACCAGATGAAAACGGTTAAGACCGGCTATAATCTAATAAACTTAATCTACGCTATCGTTACTTTTTGCCCGAGCACCGCCGAACTTATCTGCTAGTTATTGAACCCCTATATCGAGGGTTTATATAATTCGGATTCGTATATCGCGGCGAAAAAATTGCGACCGTATTCGTATAAAGACGCTAAAAGAGTCTCGTAAAATGCGGTAAAACGTCATCGCCGACTCGTATCGCGACAGGATTGGTCGAATCTGGACAAATAGTGGACGAGCAGCCGAACTACTTTCACGTTACGGACAGTTTAGGCGGGTAAGTTGAGTTTACTATCGTCTGTACAGTATGTAGGCTAAATTAGGTACTGTAAGTCTAATACAGTACTGTAATTTTATACATTTCTTGTGAAAAAACATTTCTTATTCAACGGTCATAAAAATTATTTGTACTAATGATGTCTCCAAAGTTCAACGAATTTTTCGCAGAAAAATAACTTATCAGAATACGCGACCGCTGTTTGGTGAGCTGTTCCGCGACGAAAACTAGCTTAAGCAATGACGTGGACGAACAGTGCACACTCGGTAAGTAATCCTACAATTTTTTGTTTATAGCATAGTTTATACGTTATTCCCAAAAAAATTATATGTGTTTTGGAAATAATGAGTGAAATTATTGTAGATTCGATTAATTTTATAAAAGAAAACCTTTCAAACAGCCGTAGTCCGTAAATTGCACACGTGCCTGGCTGTGATTGGCTCATGTATTTGAAGATTATTAAAACGCGAAATTCTTATAAAGCGGAATGTATCTACCGCGTTATAGGGGAATCGACTGTACTTTTAATGCTGACACAATAAAAACACTCATAAAACAAGCAAAAACAGTGTTTGAAATTCCCAGCAATAGTAAAAGAAAGAACACAAATTTATACCAGGACTCACTGGTGTACGGGTTATTTTTTATGATCGACAACGTTGAAAAAAAATAATCGCACGAACTAAAAACAAGTAAAGAAAAATAGTTGATAGACCTATCACTCGCTGTAGAAACTGCACAAGACATAGACGTCAGATTCAATTAGCAATTTTAATAATACTCCTGTTTACACATTAATAGAGAAAATATTATTGCTTTACACTGGAAAAATCGTCGTTTACACAAGAATACAGGTTTCTTGATTTTAAATCAGTTTTAATTAAAAACAATATTTTTAGAAAAGTACAAGAATATTCCAGAGTTGTATGATTATATTCCTGTGGAAATATCTACTACTGGTTTTGCACTCGCTTTAGAAACTGCACAAGAGATAGACGTCAGATTCAATTAGCAATATTAATAATACTCCTGTCTACACAGTAATAGAGAAAATATTATTGCTTTATACTGGAAAAATCGTCGTTCACACAAAAATACAGGTTTCTTGATTTTAAATTGGTTTTAATTAAAAACAATATTTTTAGAAAAGTACAAGAATATTCCAAAGTTGTATGATTATATTCCTGTGGAAATATCTACTGCTGGTGTCGCAATGATGGAGATTTTTTACTTTATAAGGTAATTATCTTCATATTGATAAAATTTTTTGATGAAATACTTTGAAACTAGTTTCTATTTTCTTATAAAATAATGTAAAATATTTAACTTTATATATGACGAACATNAATCAACGCGGAGATAGGGCAATTGCTCCTGTTGAAATCGTTACATAATAATTATATTGTAAAATTATATAAATTAACTTATTATTAGACGTTACGCTTAAACAAAGAAAGTCTACAGGCAACGAAATGGTGAATCTAAATTGTTTTCCGAGTCGTGAGCAGACTCTTTATTGTGAAAGGCATCATTACAGCATTATTGTTGACAATATTTTGCACTAGAAATAATTTTATACTGCAGAATTTGATAAAACATTAATGTATTGTTAGTGTGAAATTAAACATCTACACATATGATAATTCACAATGTTTTTTTTAAAACAAATTTCAGTGCTTTTCTTCTCTCCTATTCTTGCCAGAACAGTGTGAAATCTGCAACGGATATTTTCGTCTTATTGAGAAAGAGAATCATCAGGTTAGGGGATTTTATATTTATTCAAAAATTTAATATTTATATGTATATGTTGATAATTCGTTCAGATATAGTGCAAAGCAAAGTGCAAAATTTGAAGAGAAATTGTTTTAAATATAAACTTTACTCTGAATCGAAACGAAAGACGGCAATATGTTGGCTCACTGGTTTTGATCGAACCTTTTTAAGTTTATAGTGCACCCCCCAACGACTGACATGTTCCAAATAGTAAGGTACACAAAATTAAACGAAAAAATTACGGGTGCAAATTGCACAATGTCTTAAAACTTTGATAATTCTTTCTATTTGATAAATGGTTGATTGTTTGGTGCAGATGTGCCAGTTTCTTAGTTTAATGATGGTGAGTAAAATTCTGTTTTTCCTGTGAGTAGCAGGGGTTAATGCGTGCGCTATAACCCGTTTACTGGCGACGGTTTGACGAAAACCTCTCACGTCGTCTGTGGATGGCGTTTTACTTTCAGGGCGCGTTTTTCCGGGTAACAGGATCGACTTGTCAGGTCGAGTAGAAGGGTAAGAGAGGTCATTGATAAAGTATGCCGATAATCGAGTAACAGACACCATTAAGAAACTTAATAAGGATAAAATTTTAATAAATAACTACAATCTAAACAAAAAATTACAGAAGTACAAGTATAATATTGAGTACCCGGGTATTAAGGATAATAAGCTTATTCTATCTACCAATATATACATATAATGAACAGCACCTCTATATAATTTTGCGAAGACATATTTCAGAGTAAAAAGACGTGTAAAATTTTAAAATAAAATGTTCATAATTTCAAAGCTTATCGACTCTCTCTAAAAACTTTTATCGATTTTTAGTCGTTAATACCGACCTTTTTGGAAAGTTCTTATTATCAGTTATGTGGCATTCGTATACAATATATGTAACTATTTTTTACTTGCTGCATCACTTGTTTACCAATGTTTTTGATTATATAACATTGTTTAAAAATTACTTTAGCTCCAGTAATATGTGGAATAAATATAACTCTGTTTGGTGAGATACAACGACACATCTCATGAACGATGGGCATATGAATACAGCAATGACTTTATACGAGCTCATTTTCATGTGTTAGAAACATGAACTAAACCTGAAATATTCCACTTGGCCAGCGTAACTAGAGTCTTTGGTCTCATGAGACATTATCTAGCGATCAACTACCAGAGTTCTGTTGTTATCCTCTTGGACATTAGTCGGCCTCGAACGATATGTTCTAGTAATGATAGTTATAAGTGTAGCCGAAAATTTTCGCTTTTGGCGACATTCTCAGCTATATTCTCCAGGAATGAGCATCTTTCAATTAGCACTAATTTAAAAATCAGGTCTCAATATCACTATGTTTTTTGAAGATTTTCACCCTAACTGACGAATTTGCCAATGGTGGCGAAACATATTCATAACTGAAGTTAATAGTGACAGATCGAGCAAAATACATGTTGAAGGCAGTAATTAAGAAAAATTCATTGATTTTTCTAAATGTACATCACATCACGTGTCTCGCTCACGCCTTACATAACGTTGCATTTAGGATTCAGAATGAGTACGAGTACAAATTAAGAAATTCGCTTATATCAGAAAAAAAGAACTTTTTTTGTGAATTCAGGAAAAAATCAAAATTATTTTAAGAATAGAACTGGAGTTAGTAATCTTTTTCCGGAATCAATTGTCACTCGCAAAGGTCTTGGATAAACGCTGCAAAGTACCATGTCGATAATTTTGATACTGTTGATCGCTTCATTTTCAACTACAAACAAAAGTCTCATTCAAATGCTAGAAATGTTTTGGTGAAACTATTGCAAGAGAAGAAAGTTTACCTCAAGAAAGAATTATTTGATCTCCTTAATTTCGTGAAGCTATCAAATATAACATTACTAGAAGAACAAGGACTCGGTATAACTAAACAAGCCGAACTACGAGCAATTGAAAATGCAAAAAAATTGTTTCTGGTTACCTTATATTTTCTCAAAAATTGAAAAAAATTTTCTCAAGCAATTTTGATCTTATTAAATTTACGTCTTTTGATATAATTTAAGTGATAAAGTTAATATCGAATTCGCTCGTTTAATAGCAATCGACTTGAACGTTAGTTCTCATTATATTCATCGATATTGGCCAATCGACGTCACAGTTTAAGCGAGGCTTATTTGAAATATCAAAGTGTAATTCGTTTAAACTCGTTTTTGAGATAAGTAGCTGGCGATTTTTTTGGCAAATTTACGGCAAATAGTTGGCGATTACCGCGATTTAAAGCCCAAAAACTAACGAAAACTTTCGGCTCTAGTTATAACCTTATAAATTTAAATAAGCTCAGTTATGATTTCAGAAACGACTACGTCTAAACTGGAATCTTATTAATGTAATGTTATTTGATATACAATTTTGAATTAATTTACTCAGAATACAATTTTCTATTGCAGATTAACAGTGCCAGTATTTTGCCTTGTAGCAGCGACGATTATTTTACCTCTTTTAGGAGATGGTCCTCATTGGAATGACCTGTTAAGCGATGTACATGAAATTGTAGAGAATTGGCCCAAATATGTTTTTCATTACAATAATTTCATAGAATACAATGCTCCAAATTCCCTTGTAAAAATGAAAATATAATACATTATATAACATTTTTAAATATATAATTTATTACGTATATATTATTTACATTTACAGAAACTTGAACATTTATGGTTTTTAAGCGCCTTGTTTCAGCAAATCCTTGTTGCTATACCTTTACTATACATAAACAACAGGTATGTTTTTTTCGTTTTTATTTTCAATTTTAACTATTTCTAAAGTTCGAACACTATCCCATGAGGAAGCAGATAATGTTGAGAATTTCTTACAAAAAATTTTAAAATATACTATTTCAATATTTATAAATTATACTGATTAATTTTTTCTCTATATAAATGGAGACATTGAAAAAACTAAACAATATTGGTAAACTTCAAAATACTCCAAAGAGGAAATTAAACGAGTTGAAAATTGATTACGAATATCCAATTGATTATATTAAAACAATATCCACTCGCTTTGGTGATAAAAAATTAGTAGTTCTTAGGGATAGAGAATTGAATAAATTTTAAGTTTTTCTTCCTGATCGATTCAATAAAAAAATAGAGAATGAATATTTAGATGAGATGAGTAATTATAAATTTGTATACAGGGGTATGAAAAGTTGTGGGAATATGTATGAAGCTCATATTATTGAGTTTGTTTGACTTTCTTATATTTACTTTTTTGTAATAAATCACTTTAAATAAATGACACTAGGAATCAGAGAGATTTCATCGGTTTTCATTTTTTGTTTAAATTCAGTGAATTTTATTATCGATATCGATTAAATTCATTTAATTTTATTAAATTTTTGGGGCAGAACCGACATTATTATACTACTCATATGGCTGGTCACTATGACGCCTAATACTGGCAGAACTAAAAAAAGGAGCCCAGCAAATTGGTTTCAATAGAGAACAATGTTTCTCTCCGACGTGAAGTACGGGAACCTGAAAGTTTTCTAATTTATCATGGTAATATGAAATACATGGTAAAATTAACACGTAAAGATTTACCCACAGCAAATTTGAGATGAGCAAACTGTCGTGCAGACATATCGAGCGAATTTGCAAATTCTCGAATAAATAAAAATTTTAAGTATGTAAAGAACAATGTAAACGTGGAAACATTCGAGTTTTCTTTAGAAAGATAAATGACAGGTACATTTAAAAAGTTATCTCATGAATCGAAAACTTTTAGTCCAACACTCGTTAGATCCACGCCTTAGTGCGTAGCTGCCATGTATTCACTTTAACTTTAATTTATGCAGAAATATTCAAATCATAATGTGTAACTTACAAACATATTATTTGAGCAGTGGAATAAACAACTTTCTGCCCTTTGCAATAATTAACTCTAGCTGATAGTTCACTACATGTTCGTCAAAACTTGGCGATAACATCAAGTGCAGTGTTTTTCAACCTTTTTAAATACGCGACCCCCTTTACAAGTTAAAAAATTCTGGCGAACCCCAGGACCATATTAAAACTATATCAGTGATTTTAAAAACTATGTATTTAATTTTCTTTCTGTTGAGAGCTAAATATCGTTCGAAAAACAAATTGTACTGTAAATTTTACAGTACAATTGGTTTTTCAGGTTTATTTTACAGTGTGAAATAAACAGGCATATCCTTCTCACTGAAATTGTAGTTTTTTTATTGTAATGTAGGATGTACAAACACTTGTCTTTTTCTTTTACCTGCGAACCCATGGATAAGGCATTGCGACCCCCCCGGGTATTCGCGACCAACAGGTTGAAAAACACTGATCTGGTAAAAAGTCGTCAGTCAAAGATTTCTTCTTTGACTGACGACTTTTTACCAGATCAGTGTTTTTAGGTAGGTACGGTATCCGAGAGCATTGGCAACACCGGCGAGGGCGAACTTTCGTTGATTACGGACTCCTCGGACGGTCAATCACCTTGTCGTCATCAGTCATTGCCTTTTATTGGGGGCACTTCCTCTTTTCTTCATTGCTTTTTTTTGGCAATCTTGTAACGCCTGTGACCAGTAGCAAATTCTCTTCGCCAAGTTTCTAAAAAGGAAGTTACTCCGCAGACAAATGAAAATCATATCTGTTACAATTGTAACAATCGTGAAAATTATAGCAAGTTTTAATTTCAAAACTTGAATTTTCACCTGCAAACTTTTTATCAAATCCGGGTTCTCACACTTGCAATTGACCATGAAAATAAACTATTAAATATAATATTTTATATATTATAATTATTATTCNTAATTGGGGTTCCATAATACCACCTTCTCCTCTACATTTTTTGAAGACGCTTCAGGACGTTTTGAAATTTTATTGCTGCAAAACTGTTGGCAACACTGTTGGCAACACCGGCGAGGGCGAACTTTCGTTGATCACGGACTCCTCGGACGGTCGATCACCTTGTCGTCATCAGTCATTGCCTTTTATTGGGGGTCCTTCCTCTTTTCTTCATTGCTTTTTTTGGCAATTTTGTAACGCCTATGACTAATAGCAAATTCTTTTCGCCAAGTTCCTGGTGACACATTCGATGTCTCATCTTGAAAAGGAAGTTACTCCGCAGAGGAATGAAATTCATATCCGTTACAATTTAAACAATCGTTGGGAAAATTATAGCAAGTTTTAATTTCAAAAAATTTATTTTTGAAATTAAAACTTGCTTTTATTTAATAACATAGTAAATAGTACCCCGATTACAAAAACAAAAGATATAGGATAATACTTTTTGGGATCATAAAAACAGCTGTCATATATTTTAAAATAATCGAAAAGTTCAATATACCATAAAGCAACACAGCTTTTTTTGTCACGTAAATCATTTATTATTCCACTCATATAGGCTTTTATTTAATAAAGTAGTAAATAGTTTTCCAATTACAAAAACAAAAGATATGGGATAATACTTTTTGGGATCATAAAAACAGCTGTTATATATTTTAAAATAATCGAAAAGTTCAATATACCATAAAGCAACACAGCTTTTTTTGTCACGTAAATCATTAATTATAGACAGCAGATCATAGTTATAGGCTAATTTTTTCTGTTTCGAAAATTTCAAAGATAAAAAAAATGAAAGAAATTGCTCTCGATGCAAAAGATTTTGATTCTTATAGCTTTCGTAGCTGGTGTTGAGGAAGAACTGTCTTCTGTTTATTACAAAATCGTTATTCATAAAATCACCGAAATATAAACTAAGCATCTTCAAAAACATAACCAGTGAAAATTGTTTTTTTCTTTTCACTAACAGATAAGTTAAACGAATTTGCCATGCGAAATCTTGAAAAAAGATCTCAAGGAATCAAGTGTTAAATATAAGTGGTGAAACGTAATAGTTTAGAAATTCGAGTTTATATGAAATGCATGCTGCTAAGATTAGTGGATATTATATAATCTTTTATTCACCAGAAAAATATTCCGTCATTTTAAAAGAGATAATTTATACTTGAAAATTTAATAATAACTTTCATTATCCAATTTAATTTACTTTTTTGAGAAATGATTATGATTCAAGGAACAATTATGTGTAAATATACATTAAAATTAATCGCCCATAAAAAGCAATCTATACCTTGCAATACAAACTAAAAATAATTACTGAACATAGTTGCATAACGTCATTTTTGTATTATTTTTTCCAACCGGTTTGGTTTGATAGTTCATTGCACACCCATTTTTAAACCTTATTAGAACCATAATTCACTATTTTTATCACCTAAATAATTTTAGAATGAGTTTGCAAATATGCAATCCTTTACAACGATATAGAACACATTCTTAGCGACGTAAAAAAACTTCGTTTAATGCTTGAATGCAACATTTAAATAAATTCAGAAACAAGATCTATTCGTGAAAAATTTCTTTGAGAAACACTGGCATTTTTTAAGTGTAAATACGTGATAAAAACGCGGTAAATTCACCTCATCTGCCAGTTGGCTAGGCGCGAACTCGCTACCAATTACTTAATTTCATTATGAAAGTGAATTTTCTTGATTGGATTACATATGTAATAGATATAACAATTAATAAGAGATAGTTCAGAAAGTATTTTGTTTAATTATTTGTAATTTAAATGGACAAAACAGAAATGAATATATATTTTTTTACTTTTAGATGGCCGAAGTATGGAAAAATTATCATGGTGATGTTAATTGTGGCAGGAGCTGTATCACACGTTATTAATACAAATGTATACAAAGATCACACAATGTTTGGTTATTCTATGGATTATAGGTATGTACTTTAATTTTATATGAATGTATTTACAGGACACCACGTTATAAAGTCAAAATTCAGATATACGTTTACTAGACAAAAACAAAAAATATTACAATTTCATTATTACTTTGAGAAAAACAATAAAAATATTTGTCATTAAGACACTATCACTAATAATGGCATAAATCGATACATTTCTTTATAATACGTTTTTAATATGTACGAACTTGTTAAGATATGTATTTTTATATCCACAAAAGTAAAGAATGGTAAACAGATGTCAGACAAACGGAAAAATGTTTATTAGAGTAGCCTACTCCTATTGAACGTTTCACAGAGAATTATCCAGAAATCCTGATGCAACCGAATCTGGTATGGTAAAGAATAAAAATAAATTTACATAAAATTATAATAAAATTCTTTACTATGGCATGGCAATATCGCTATAAACAAAGATAGACGATCTGAATCTTTCTTCATGAAACATTTGTTGTAGACCATTTGTAGTGCTGTTTGTTGAAAAGTGCTTTTTTAGCACTCGTCCTCCACAAAGAGATCATCTCAATGTATTTAAAAAGCATCACAAATAACGAATTGCAGTCGGGATAAAAACAGACTTCTCCTCGTCTTCAGATTTTAAATTATGAGAATGTGATACACGCTGAAAAATATCTCCTGAATCGCTAAGATTTCAATATAGTGTAAATGTTTTATACAAATGAAATTTTCCTCGCTGCTTCAAATTCGTCAGTGACAAAATGTAATACAAAATTTTATAAGAAAATATTTTCTGCATGGACTGAATTCTCCTTATACTAGCTAGATGGTATTTGGACAGCTCTGTAAATGGCGTTGAATAGGAGTACATAGTTTATCATCATAAATTATTTTGGGGTTGTTATTGCTTGTGTTTTTAATATTAGTAATGCATTGTGAAGCGTTCAAACGTCTTACAGCATAATGTAACCGAATAATCTGGAAAACGGAGAAATGTCTCTTTTTATTATAAGATAAAAATTAGCCTGCGTAATGAAGAAAACTGACTTTTTAATAACTTTTTTTCTCTCTGTGAACATCATGAAATACATGTAGGCAATATACACGTGTTCCTGTACACCCATTTATACGATCAATCCCCGATAATTTTTGAGTTTTCGACCAGCCTAAGAAGAAATCGGACAAAAGTTCTGAGTATGGTTTTCTGTTCTTCATTTTTGTTAATTGGCTCTGAAATAGACCAATCGTTCATACTATGCAAAATATAAATTTGTTGCATTGTAATGTGTTTTTTGAATTTATCAATTTTTTAATAGTTTTTTGTCTTTTAAAATAAGTAATACGCAAATTTCTTTTAATTGTGTTGTGATGCTACTATATTAATATTTTTATAATGTTTTCTTTTTATTATTTTTAGAAAAGTTGTAAATTACCTAAATCACAATTACTGGAAACCTTATTACTCACATCTCAGCTCATTTTTTACTGGATTTTTGTTTGGATGCTTTCTGTTGAAAAAAGGAGAAATTAAATTTACTCGTGTAAGTATCAATATTTTTTAAAGAAATGCATACAATTTTTAAAATTTCATTTAATCAAACAGCCAAGTGTTTGTAATTAATTAACTTAGGTTAAATTAGGTTAGGTTAGAATATTATTTGTACGGTACACTACATCAAAGTCGTAACAACGAAGACATAACGACCATATACACAGACTATTCGCGCCTTTTAAGAGCATTATCCAAACGAAACTGTGGTGTTCAGTTACAGATATACACTTGCCATATACGTAAGGACATAGTTTTACAACAGCCCATTTAATGCATAAATATTTTTTATGTGTCGTCGAATAATTTCACTCGTTTTTGTTAAGCGTTAGACTGATGTAACATACGGAATGCTCTCTTCTGTCATCATCTTGTTGTAATAGAGTATCCCCTAATTCTACATCATACGTATCTGTGTGCTAAAACACATTCTTTCTGGGTCAAAGTAACTTAGAAGTGGTGAGTTACAGGCTTTCCTTTAATCTCAAAGAAGTTTCTTGTTCGGTATCTCTTCAGATGGACTTTTGATTGATTCTCTGTAAACAGAATAATGGTGTAGAGATAGTTAAGAAATCATTTATCATTAGTCTAAAACACGGATGGCCAAAGCTTTAACCAATACTACCGACCTGCTTTTAAAATTTTTGGTGGCGGGCTACTAACAATAAAAGTAGTAATTTAAAGCCAAAAAGTTTAAATTGAAAATAAACAGATAATACCAATACCAATTTAATGTCAAGTTAGTTTAATAACAACAATTAATGATGACTTCACACAAACATAAAAATAATACGTAAATAAAACAAGATGTTCTTTTTAATTATAATTGCGTTACCGTCCTTATTTCTAATTGATTTTTAATTGTCTACTTTGACATTATTCATTAATAGGACTTTACACTGCTCTTTAAAAATTGACACAATAATGAGAGTTAGTTAACAAGAAACAAATTTTCTTTATTAAATCACCTGCAGTAGTAACTTTTTCTGTACACTTAAATGTGTTTCGGGCTAACACCCCCTCATCAGCAGTATTACTACAATAAAAAGAATATGTTGTATATTAATTAAAAATATATAGGCCTATATTTTATTGTAAAAAATTTATTTTATAACAACTAACAGTAAACACGTATCCAAATATCATGTACAATTGGATTACATTTCCAAAAATTACAGATTTACATAATTGCATTTTTCTGTATAAATAAAATAAATCGTTAATTTTTAAAAACTTAAAATTATTACAAGTATTGGTTGATATTGTAACTTAGATCAAGGTTCTATTCGCCATTAGGTAAGGACATTATGATAAGTTGATTCTATCAACCATTTATAGGCTATGCTCTTTGTAAACGTCATCAAGTATGGTGTCCCAGGATTGGTGATTTATTTTTCCTAAATTATTATTTATTTTATTTGTTTATTTCTTTATGTTTATATGTTCATACGATTGTCTTTTGTAATTATTAGACTTTTTTTTTAATTTTTATTGTATTTATATTTATTTGGCAACCATAATTATTACAATGTTCTGCTACAGCAGAATTTGTATAATTCCCTTTAATTTAATGAAAGAAAAATATAGTTTATTTATTTAATTGTAGTTGTTATCCACCCAAAACTAGTGTAGTTGAAAAAAAACCATTGGGAACAAGAATAAAAGAAATCATACGCGTAACAAAAGGGAATCGTGCAAATTCTTACTTCTAATGCATATATAAAGGGATTACCAGAATTAATTTCAAACGGAAATGAATTTCCGAGTTAAGCAAAGCATACCTGTACGTAACACTCTTAACCACTTACTTTCCTTTCTCTCTACTCCCTGTATATTCACGTAGCCGTATAAAAAAGTCTTAAATTTCTCAATTTTTATAGTAATAGTAATATATGATTGTTTGAAACAGTTTTAAATAACATTACAGAAAACACTTCTAGTATTTTGGATCGGTAGTATTATATTGATAATGCTGGCAATATTTGGATTGCATGGTTATAAAAGAGAAACGTCACCAAACGACACTATAGTGTATTTACATCACACGTTATCGCCATTTGCTCTTACTGTGGCCACGACATGGATTTCTGTTGCATGCATTACGGGATACGGTGGTAAGTAAATAAATTTTAAGCAATTTCACATAAATTTAGTTACGGTTTAAGTATTTTATTTCTAAATTGATTTCTTATTTCATATTAATAGCATGATTTCATTACAGGTATCTGTAATCGAATTTTCTCATTGCGAATATTTTGTATGTTGGATAAATTAATTATTTGGATCTACATGCTTCATATACTAGTTTTAATGTATATTCATGGTCATTTACGGAAAGGTCTTTACGCATCAGTAATAATTCTGGTAAGATTAGTTTAATAAGAAAAAATAATAATAATGATTCAGCGAACAGTTGCTTAACTTTCTCGGAAACATTCAAAAACTACAAATGTGGCATCATGTAATTGTGTTTTATTACAAAAACTATATTTTTTATTATTATAAAATGGCAAGAAACATAATTTTGAACTTAAGATGGGTTTTATAAAAAATTGTAAATGCTAGTAACGATGAAATTGTCATGATGGCGAATTCTACTCGAGATAGGACATACAATTTTTGCTTATTTTTCCACTTTCGGTACCTTTAACCACCGACATTGAATAGCTTGACTCTCATAATAATAAACCTCCCTGTAAAAATTTTAAAAAACTTCAACTTAAAGCACGAGAGTTATTAAGCTTCAAAGAGGGTGATCAAAATGGTGTTCTCCCAACTTATACACACACATACACTAATGTGCATACATTCAGAAAATTACCTGAATGATTTATATTTCTCGATGTATCGAAATCCCTGTGTCCAGAAATGTTCAAATCTTGGAGGCTCTCTGTTTGATGGATTGCCATAGTTTTTCCTCTGTTATAGTTAATAGAGCGATAACAGTATTATAGTGAAATTTTGTTAATTTTGTTAATAACCAATACGAAAAATGACTTCTTGTTTATGTGCTTTTGGATAGATGGAAAAGTTGGCATACATTACCGATGAAATAAAAACGGCTTGATCGACTTAGTATGGTAGAGATGAAACCAGTTATATGATATGTTCAGACACCTGGTTTATCGAAAGTGAAAAAGATAGGCTCATAGAGAATTATGGAAAAATGTGATATTGGTCCAACTAATACGGGCACATGTCTCGAATATACTTAACCGGAAAATCAACAGTAAATGCTGTCCATTATTGTGAGACTTTGAATGAATTCTGTTTTGGAATATCTCAAAAGTTTTCCAAATTCGTTATATAAGAGATCATTGTTCTCCAGAATACTACTTCTTTGTATATTGCGAAATAAAAATATTATAACGTTTACAACTATGTAAGTTACCGTACAGGTTTAATTCCTTTTGAAGACTTTTTTCTATACAGTTCTGTTCTATTTAACATTATTTGATAATAAGTGAGAAAAAAACGGATGTTTGAAAATTAGAAATATACAGAAAACTTATTCAGGTGGTGTGGAAATTTTGCTTTTATATATTGTCACGAGTGACTAAAACTTAGAAAGTTTCTACGGCCAGAAAACTTACATGTTAAACTCCCGTTATATAAGGTAAAGTAAGGATGAGGCAAATGTGTCCTTACACGATAAAAGGAGTATATAACATAAACATGTGTATAAATACAGAAATAATTTTTGGCATTATATACGAAAGCGTTACATAGATGTTTAAATGTAAGCTATTAAAACATAAATAACATCAGAAAATGTATTTAAGAATAAAAAATAATGTTATTTAATAAATATCGAAAATTATTTTTTTTAATTAATGCATATTTTTTTTCTTTGTTAGTGGATGTTGTTCCTAATGGTGATGTGCCTAACTTTGATAGCATCGTTACTCATGCATTTATTTGTGGAAACACCTTTGAATTATCTTATTGATAAAATAGTTGATTTTCTCTGTAAGAAGAAAAAAGTGGATAGAAACGAAGAATGCAGAATTGATAATTTGCGTAAAAATCAGAACAACGACAACAATAAAGTCTAATAATATCAATTATTTGAATATGATTAATAATAATAAGTTTTATGATTTCAAATATAATTAAATTGATTTGTAACAATATTGATTAAATGTATTTCTTTTTCGATATGTTTAAATGTATTCAATAATATAGGTATAACTGTATTCAATTGAAATATAATTAAAGTGATTTGTACTAATATTTGCAATATGTTGTAAAATTAAAATCTGCGGAAAAATCGCTCGACATTTCCTAATTTCGTATTAGATATATTGTATTTGCATGAATTTACGAAAATATATTATCTTATTGTTTCATTGTTTATTACAGGCATATATTCAAAAGCATACAGGTTGAAAATATTTTTTCTTATTACAAAATAAAAAAAATAAGTATATAATTATATTCTTAATAATTACAGTAGAGCGTCGTTTATCCGAAAGCTGGTTATCCGAAACGTCCGTTATCCGAACGAATTCTAGTCGGCAAATTTAAATTTTCGCTAGTGCTTTGGCGCTGCAATCTTCGGCTATNGTGTTTCCACAAATAAATGCATGAGTAACGATGCTATCAAAGTTAACGTTTTTGATACTAAATTAACATCCGAAGTATAATTTTTTATTGTTTTTATATTTTTCAATAAATTTATTTTGTTTGTACAAAATAAAAAAATATTTTTTAACGATACCATAGTCTTCGTTAGGCTTAACATCCACGAAAATTCAACGCGAAGCGACACGCAACGGAAAGAAATTTTAACATGGGATAAATTAATATATTTTTCTGTACATGATTCGTTATCCGAAAAATAAGTTATCCGAACCACTTCAGTCCCCAGTTGATTCGGATAAACGACGCTGTATTTAATTATTTGTGTATCTGGAAATTACTAGTGCTTAGAAACTCTCGTTATATTCACAGTTTATTCTAATTTAAAATATTAGTCACTTAAACTTTCTTGGATAAAAATACAATAGCACTCCTATATATTCCACACGTAGAAAAAATGATAAAAACGTCTTTAAAACTTGTTTGTCTAAATTAAAATGTCATTATACCATTGTAACAAGTGAAAATTTTTATACTCTGTAAGAATATGTAAAAGAATTGTTTTTCTGCAGTTATTTCGAAATTCTTGCATTTTTCCCCTCGTTCTGTTGCATGAGAATTTTTAGTCATACCTGTCACGGCTTCAGCTCTACCTACAATAAAAACAACCTGTTGAGGCTTCAAAAACTACTG